CTAAACTGTCTGAATATCTCGCTCTAGAAACAAGTTATCAGCCGGCCCGTCATCTGCCCGGGCCGGCCCGCTTGCAACTATGGATTCAAGAAAATAAGAACGTGTTGTGAAACTTTTGAGACTTTGTAGTCAAAAATGCATACTTGTGGAAAAGATGGCCGGCCAGCGGGCCGGGCCGGGTCATGGCCGGGCTGAGATTTTTCTGAAAGCGGGCCGGGTCGGGCCGGAAAAAATTACACATGGCCGGCCCGCTTTTTGAAAATTTTGAAATTTTAGAGCGAATCATCATTTTTCAAGATGGTTTTTCTTCTTAGTGAATGAAAATCCACACTAGAGGCCGATACTGTCGACAAAAACTGTTTTGAAGTCGTAATTAGAAAAAAAAAGTTCCATCCTTGGCTGAATGAAGTTTGATTTTTTTTGCTAAAAATTCAATTAAATTGACTTTTTCGGAGGGTTGTATGCATTTGGATTAATATTCGTGCCATTATAAATATTTTGGCACATTCGAAAAATAAAATTTTCGAAAGGGTGTCTTAGGCGGGCCAAAAGTTTTGAGGCAAGCGGGCCGTCCCGGCCCGGCCCGGCCATCCACATGTATGCAAAAATGACTTCTTTTTGATTTTTTTCTAGAATTCTGTAGATTTACAAATGCGCTCTATTGAAAATCTATTTTTCATTTATTGTTAAAAACCAATGAGATACCGTAAACACTCTGATAGAAGGCCGCGCGAACTGCCAACTTTGAGCCCATGTATCTCGGCTCCTGTGAAAACTATAAAAAGTGATCAACTAATAAAATGTTTATCATAATATCAAAAATATTTTATCAGTTGATTACTTTTTGATATCTTTCAAACGAATTGAGATGACTAGGCTCAAAATTAGGAGTTCGGGTGATTTTCTATTAGTGTTAACAATAATTTTGAGATCAGACAAAAAAGATCAGTAAAGCCTGCGAAAAGATTTTTCCATGTTTCCCATGAAGAATTTGCGATAATTCTGGTAGTCGTTCAGTACCAATATATTGAATACGGATTGATCGTATCTGAAAAATTCAGATTAAGGCTTCCATTCGGTCGGAAAGTTTAACCGACCGCCGACCGAATCCGTGCATTAGCGCGTCAAGTGTTTGCGTACGTTGCATTGCGCGTCGTGAAATAAAATTCTGCGTACGCAAACACTCGTGTGTCGATTGGGTCGGCGGTCATGGAAGACTTCACACCAACCTGTAACAACCTGCCCACCAATCGAAATGGTTTCTATCAAATGTACATTTTAATTGAGCACCGGGTGGATTGATGCATTCATCAGTAAGAGAGCATAGCGTCCACCTGAAGAATATAGTTTTTTTATTACTTTTTCAGAATTACCATTTCACAATTTTCCTCGAATACTTTGTCTTTGGCACAAACAGTAATGTGGTCCCGACTTGATAATCACTTTCGAGTAGATCAAATGATTCAGTTGGAAAATAGTGGAGCAGTTCTAAAAGCATCAAACAATGAACTACACAAATCCTTATTAGTTTACCTAAATGCATCACTGCATAGTTAGTATGGCCAGCGTTTATGAAACTAAACATTGGGGAGAGTATCCATTAGATAGCCGGTAATCAGAAACTTCTTTGAAAGTTCTTCCAATCACATCCGAGTCAACCATCACACTGTGAGCATCGATCCACCAAATTATTGGAAAATCTCTCATGGCTTTTGCCATCACTAATCCCTTGAAATGATATCGTTTCCAGTTTGTCACATATTCTGGATACGGCGTGGCATTGAATTGACAGAATTCGAAATTAGGATCTGTTGGGAGCAAGTCGATGCCTTTTGAGCTGATATTGAGACCAAAAAGTACATATTTGTTGTATAGATAGTATTCTCGGATTGATGCTAAAGATTTCATAGCGTCGTCGAGATGATCTTCAGAGGCAGCAGATACAAAGACAACGTCGTCTTCGTTTTTGATAGAATCAGAGAGGCTTATGAGATTGTCAGCGTCTCCAATTAGTTCTGAAAATGTCTGGGTTCAAAATTTCAAAGTAGGCCATCTTACTTAAATCTTTCATAGTGTCCACAAACGAGCAATTGAACTTCACTCCATATGTTCCTGGTTTATGAGGGTCCGGATAACAAAAATTATAAGATTTCCCAGTTTTATTAGAAGTACACATGCAATCCGAGTGAGTATACAACTCGTCTAGTTCGTCCTAAATCGCGAAATTTCAATATTTTCGGCAATCAGAAACTTACGATGTTGGGTATTGGTTTTGTACAAATATAGGATATCATCATTTTTATATACAAAGTGCTTTTGGGTGTGGTTTGGAGGATCGGGAAGAATGAACGGAAGCGATAACCTACGACACTATTAAAAACCATAATTAGATGGGTATCTCTAAAGAAATCCAGAAGGTCGAGGATAGAGATAATAAGATATCCTGTTATATTGTCTTGAATAGCCATAACATATTATTTATTCGTTCTTCATTTTCACAAAAGAAGTTGCCAAACTTTTCATATAATTTTTTTTGGTCTCTTGGAAATCGTTGAGTAATAAAACGTTCAGAACCGTATCCCGACTTCCAGACGACTTGATGCATTCTTCGGTTAGTGAGCATAGAACCCACCTGAAAGAAAAATCGAGACTTCATACAAAATTTGAAGATCCGACCATTTCAAAAGTTTCCAAGTGTATTTTGTTTTGACTATGAAAAACGTTTCGAACTTAACTTTGTTGACGTCAACAGAGCTTGAAGGGAAAAATTGTATGAGGGCTGGAATTGGAATTTTCTAGATGTAGATAAAAATACCTAGTTTATAAGGTACCTGGATTTACAACTGCTGGATTTTTATTATCCGTCACTGATAATGAAGTCAATGGAGAATAATCTTCGGATGTTCTGTACTCCGATATCTCGTCAAACAAATTTTTTATAACATTTGGTTTCCTCATTGCAATATTGGAATCTATCCAGAAAAGAATTGGATAATCTCTAATCACTTCTGCCAGAATCAATCCTTTCAATTGCACAATCTTCAAATCATCCACAAATTTTGGATAGGGTGTAGTATCGAATCGTCGGAACTCAAAGTTCGGATTGTCCGGGATAGTATAGTTTGAACTCAAATCTAGGCCATAAAGTATAAATTTATGGTCCGGATAAAATTCTCGAACACATTTCAAAGAGCTCATGCTAAAATTGAAGTAGTCATCTGAAGTGACGGATACAAAGACCACGTGACTCTCGTTTCTTATTGCTTCAGAAACATTAAAGGCTTCTTGAGGAGCTTCTAGGAGATCTGAAACTAATTGGCTGAGGTAGAAACAGTTAGAAAGATTACCTAAACGTCCCAAGGTGTTCACCAAATCACAATTGAATTTCTTTCCGATTGAGGTGGCATTTCGAAAAATCCGATAGCAGAAATCATAGAATCTGTCGGCTGATTTACATTGGCAGCTGTTTAAGACTTCAGAGAAGTTCTGAAGAAGGCTCATTTTAGAATTAACCATAAATCCGAGACTTACATCTTTATTAGACACCAAACGAAGGAATATGAGAAACATAGAAAATCCGAATACTAGAGTTAAGACAAATGGTCTCCGTTGAATGATCTTTTTGAAATATCGATAATTTTTGGGTCGTTTATGCATAGTTTGGGAAGTTTAGCAAAGCAAGAAAAGAAGATTCTTGAAAAGGCAAAGGTGTTTTGTGTTGCTTGGTAACATTTTGGAATAGTTGATGAAGATGTTTGGTACAACAATCTTCAAGATGTCCTTGAAAACAGGTATCCCAATTTGGAGAAATACTTGTTATTATCCTGGAAACGGTTGAGTAGCAGAAGATTCAAAACCGATTGATCGAATCTGAAAATTCGATTGTATCTTGTAAAATTGTTTCCACTTTTACCGAAAACAATGAGCGAACTTGTTGTTTCTATCAGTGTCGAAGTGACAGGACACTTGAGCGCCTGGTGGATTCATACACGTTTTGTCGAGAGAGCACAGGACCCACCTGGAAAAGTTTGGTGGTCAAAAAATTGCTGAAAAAATTTTACCATTTCAAAACCTCCATCGTAAATTTCGTTTTAGCAAAAAATACTGCATTGGCGCCTAGCTGTGATCCGTGTTTCACATTTTTCAAAAGCGGAATGGAATTAGTGGGAAAGTATGTGAGAAGATCTGAAAATACGTTGAATCTTTTATACTTTTTCGGATTTATGGTACCTGGGAACAATACTGGAAAGTTGCTATGGCCAGTATAAACGAATGAGAAAACTGAAGAGGTCTGAAATTTGCTCATAAGATACTCTTTAATTTTATGAACTCACATTCTCAACTCCCCGTTTCTCCACAAAATCTCCCATTTCTTCTCGAAGTAGCTCTGTCAAATTTCCTTTCTCTACTCGAATATTCGCATCTAACCACCAAATATTTGAATATTCCTTCATAACTTCTGCGATAATCAATGATTTGAATCGATACTCCTTCCAATGAGTCACATAACTCGGGTATCCAGTTGTATTGAAAGTTCGAATTTCGAGATTTTTTAACTTGGATTGTATCCGTTTGATTTGATACGAGTACAAAGCCAGAGAGTATAAAATATATTTTCCAGCTGGATTGAACTTATAGAAGGAAGCAATAGATTCAATAGCTGCTTGATATGATTATCAGATGTTGCAGAAACGAAAACAATCTCAGAAGAATCCTTTTCAAAAGTTTTAAGGTCAACAAATGGTCCTGGGTTATTTACAAGACCTGAAAATATCAAATTTCATCATATCGAAATTTGGGGTAACTTACCAAGACTTTCTAGAATATTGAGATGTGAGCAATCGAACTTCTTTCCTATGGAAGTCTGATTCTGAGGATCCACATAACAAAAACTGTGGGGTTTTCCAGATTTTTCAGACTTGCAAACGCAATTTGTTGGGCTTTTGAGTTTTGTTTCCTGGGGAATAGGAGGTTTCGGAGAGGCCGATTTCGATGTGGTTTTCAGATTTTTTGATGTTTCTATCGGAGCCACGACAGACGGCGAGTTGACTTTTTCAAAACTGACTTTTTGGCTTTCAACCAAAGATGATAATTCATCAGTACTCTGAAGTTTGAAATTTGAATCAATAAAAATATCTAGATCACCTCAAAATACCGATTCTCGGAAGTATTAATAGAGAAAATGAATGCAACACAGCTTATAGTAAAAATCAATAGAACTATTGAAGGTTGAGATAATTTTGCGCAGTACCAATCTAAAATTTTCATTGTGATTTTTGAAATTTGTTCTGAGGAACACTTACAGAAACGGTTTAGAGTTGATTTGGATATCATTAGTGATCGAGCCCTCAAAACAAGAGTGAATACAAATAGACAACTCAAAAATACTAATGTTCTCTAGTTTTGGGAAAAAACAACAAAAAAACCAGATCTTTTCCCTTGGAGCATATTGAAGTTGCTATTCTTCAAAGCAAACATCAGTGTCGGAAGCGATGAATAATAGATCAATAATTCTTTTTTGTTGCCTAGACACTCCGAAAAGCATACTTGCGGACGGCCCCAAAGCGGGCCGTGGCGGGCTCTGTCATAGTNCTNGNGGCCAAATATGATACAGTGTCTTAAATACTATCATTTTGTAGTGCTCGTTGAGTTCTACCATATCTTATTTAGTTGATCAAAAAATATCAATCCTAGAAGAAACTATGGCAGGGCCTTCCACGGCCCGCTTTGGGCCCGTACGCAAGTATGCCGAAAAGGACATAAGACGAGTTTTTTTAGTCACAGTGTACCTAACCAAACATTGTTATTAACAGGTTTATTAACAAAACTGCAGTAAAACCTGTTTTAGAAGGGCCGACCCTTCTATTGTTGCAAGATACCTCCGGAGGGCCCTTCTATTACAAGGGCCTTTCTATTTTTTTGGCCATATTTTGGATAAAAGGTCGCATTGTTAGAATTGAAATCAAGATCAATATAATGATTTATTACATTTTGGAATAGTTGATGAACATGTTAATTACAATAAATTTCAGAAAAAAAGTCATAATGAGAAATTCAAGGGATCCTTGACAAAAGATATCCCAAACTGGAGATATACTTATTATGATCCTGGAAACGATCGAGTAGCAGAAGATTCAAAACGGATTGACCAAATCTGAAAATTCAGTTTTTCTTTTTATTCTTTTTTATTTTTACCAAAAACAATGAGCGAACTTATTGTTCCAATCAAACCATATAATTTCCATCCTCCACATCTCGAGTTGTGATATGAGCCTGAAATCAAATCATAAACAGAAGTTGCGATCTACAGAGATACCTGATTATATCCAGATCCGGTTTGATGAAGGGAAATCAAGAATCCACTCAAACAAATAGACAATATAAAAGCAAAAAATGCAGGTTTAGGCTGCTTAAATGTTATCCAATCTGAAGTTCTCATACCGAAGACGTTTTCGATGCGTTGAATGCGGCGTCTGATAAAACATTTGATAGCTGAATAATTGATTTTTTAGGTCACGTGGATCCATCAAAGTTCCACATGACGATCCAGAAAATTAGGACAAGCTCTAGTTAACTAGTTTTTTCAAAATGTGAAAAGATATTTTTGGGTCCTCTCTCTCGCTCTCTCTCTCTCTCTCTCTCTCTCTCTCTCTCTCTCGTTCTTTCTTTCGATAAACATACGACCAGGTATCTGAAAGCCTCGAAAATTCAGAATTTTTTATTTATACTACTTCTGAAAAATTTATCGAATAAATGTGCCATTCAAAGGAGTATAATATTTGTTATGGTCTTTATACTTGTTCAGCAATAAGAGATTTAAAACCGATTGATCATATCGGAAACAATTGGCAAAGTATTCCATTCTATTGGGTCCAAGATAACAGTCAAAGTTGGTTCCAGCTGGATGACTCATGCAATCTTCGTCGAGAGCACAGAGTACGAACCTAGAATCAATGAATCACGGTGAGCGGTCAAAGGCTCCGCGTCACTTCGAAACTGAAACACTTCGAAACCTGTCATTTTGAAACCGTGTTAATACAGTAGAATGGATTAAAGATTTGATTTCTTCCAAAAAAAAATGGTTTTGAATTTTCGAGTTCCAGAATGTTTTTTATCAAAAAAGGCATGTTTCGTCNAAAATTCATTTTATATAGTTTGGGACTTGGTGAAATCTACATCACCAATATCAAAAAAGATTTCAAGTATCTGGAAGTCCGCGTTTTCAATACATCCAGATATCCGGAATATGTTACTCATTGGATGACATATCGATTTAAGCCACTGATCCTTGCAGAAGTTATGACAGAGTTTACAAATATTTGGTGGATGGATGCACATATTGTGACGAAAAAGCCAAATATGATTGAGACTTTTTATAAGGAGCTGGAGGAGAGGACGAAAAAAAATGATACGGATATTGTGAGTTTCTTCTGAATA